CCTTTCCAAACAATATCATCCGTACCCTCCTATCGACACATCGGGGTGGTGGGGTGGGAGGGGAAAGAAGACGATTCTAGAACATCGCGTAATCACCCGAGCCGAGGATATATAAGACACGCGCGACCGATGCGCGAGGCTCTTCTCCCGCCGCAGTCGTCGTTGAACCAACTCTTCTCTCCTGACGCACCACTGGGGCCCCAGAAGTGTCTGTCCAGAGGAGGTTCCGGAAGTCGCCGCTATAGTGATCGACAGGAAGAAGAAACCCCGGTGAGTCAATACTCCTTAATTATACCTGCTTGCTAATAATTTAACCCGCTCCAATCTGTGTTTTTTTCCTAGTCAAGCAGGATTCCTTTCATCGATTCGACAAGTAATAGTTTAGTTTAGGGAAGAGCGAGTGCATTGTACCGCATGCTATAGTAGTCGCTTTACGTAAACGTAGAAGCAATCGCATATACAGTCCACTTTAGTTAATATCTCGCGTAATAGGTTTGAGGTTTGACCGGGGAACTAGATTTTCGGCAGCCTTAAACACGTGGCTCCACCAAAGGTACTTACTAGTGAGCAGTGTGCTACTGAGTTTGCTCAGTATTTTTATTCGGTATTTAGCCCTAGCGTGGAGACGGCAGTGACACAGGCTGGTGGTAAGAATGGAGCGTCTAGGGTACACTTAGAACAACTAAAGCTTGACGAAGTACTTTACGCTCTGCAAAAACTCAAGCCAAAAAAGTCAACGGGACCCGATGGCATACCGCCCTACATTTTCGAAGACTGTAGACTAGTACTTGGTATGCCACTTCTCTACATCTTTAATCAGTGCCTGGCGGAGGCAGTGTTTCCAGATAGATGGAAAACAACCAAGGTAGTCTCAGTACCAAAAGGAAAGTCAGCATCAAACGTGGACCAATATTGGCCGGTTGCTGTGCTTTCGACACCAGCTAAAGTACTGGAGGCTGCAGTACACAAGAGCATCCTCTCGCAGGTTAATGTACAGCTTTCAGATGAGCAACACGGTTTTAGACCCGACAAGAGCACCACCAGCAACCTAATTAATTATATGAATTATATTGTACCTGAAGTGAATGCCGGAGGACAGGTAGATGTAGCTTTATTGGATTACAAAAAAGCTTTCTACCTAGTGGATAATGACATACTGCTCACAAAACTGCAGGTGTAGGATTTATTCCCATTTGCTAACATTTTTGCTAGTTATATGCGGGACAGACAGCAGTATGTAGAATATGCGGAGTGTAGGTCAGAAAACTATTGAACTAGGTCCGGAGTAAGCCAGGGCAGCAATCTCGGTCCATTGCAATTCATATTGATGATAAATGACCTTCCAACGGTTGTCAAAGATGCTCATTGCACTCTATTTGCAGATGACCTGAAACTGTATCTTGCTGTTAGGAACAGAGAGGATTGCCAAAAGTTACAACAAGATATAGATAGGGTGGTAGCCTGGAGCAAACATAATAACTTACAATTTAATTCACGAAGTGCATAACTATGACCTTCAGCCGTGTATTATCTCCAGTTACGTACCAATACCAGATTAACGGGGTATCAAAAGTCAAGGATCTAGGGGTTAATTTCTCCTCTAAACTAGAATTTGGAGAGCATATAAACAAAATCTGTAAGAATGCCTACAGAAATTTGGGAAGAGTACAATCTGCCACTTTGCCTGGCGTATGTGGACTATGAGAAAGCCTTTGATTCCGTCGAAATTTGGGCGGTGCTACAGTCCCTTCAGCGGTGCCAAGTTGACTGTCGGTATATCGAAGTGCTGAAGTGTTTGTACAGTAGGGCTACGATGGCTATCCGAGTACAGAACCAGAGTTCGAAACCTATCCAACTGCAGAGAGGTGTAAGACAGGGTGACGTTATATCCCCGAAACTCTTCACCGCTGCGTTGGAAGACGTTTTCAAGCTAATGGACTGGAAAGGATACGGTATTAACATCAATGGCGAGTACATCACTCACCTTCGATTTGCCGACGATATAGTCCTTATGGCAGAATCGCTGAAGGACCTTAGCACTATGCTATAATGACCTCAATGGTGTCTCCCAACGGATAGGTCTTAAGATGAACATGGACAAAACAAAGATTATGTTCAATGTCCATGTCACAACTATGCCGGTAGTTGTGGGGAGCACTATGCTCGAAGTTGTTGACGAGTACGTTTACCTGGGACAAATAGTCCGACTAGGTAAGTCCAACTTCGACCGAGAGGTCAATCGACGGATTCAACTCGGCTGGGCAGCGTTCGGGAAATTACGACACATCTTCTCGTCAGGTATACCTCAATCTCTGAAAACTAAAGTGTACAACCAGTGCGTGTTGCCAGTGATGACTTACGGATCAGAGACGTGGTCCGTCACTGCTGGCCGTATGAGGACGCTCAAGGTCGCTCAGCGAGCTATGGAGAGGGCTATGCTCGGAGTTTCTCTGCGTGATAGACTCAGAAATGAGGATATTCGCAGTAAAACCAGAGTGACCGACATAGCCCAACGGATTAGTAAGCTGAAGTGGCAATGGGCCGGCCATATAGCTCGAAGAACCGATAACCGATGGGGAAGAAAGGTTCTCGTGTGGCAGCCTCGTACCGGTAGGCGTAGTGTAGGGCGACCCCCACTAGATGGAATGACGACCTGGTAAGACATGCAGGAAGTCGATGGATGCAGGTGGCTCAGGACCGTGCTTTGTGGCATTACTTGGGGGGGCCTATGTTCAGCAGTGGACTTGTGAAGGGCTGTAATGATGATGAATGATATGGTCCTACTGTGATATAGATACGGTGTTTGAAATAGCAATAAGTATATATTTATAATAATAATAGTTGTCTACATCGCATTAGGTGATAAACCTGTAAAGGTAATTGTATAGTGGGAAATAAATAATTAAAATAAATATAAATATAACCCTTTGATTTGATATTTGGACCTATTTGATTTGACAATGTCATTGATAAACATTTATTACGAAAAGTAATAAATGTTTATCAATAATGTTAATAGTGTTAATAGTCAAATCAATAGTGTTAATAGTCCAAATCATAATACTCAGATTTCTAACTCCTCTCACTCGATTAGTATAAATTCGGTCACTTTTACAGTTCCTCAAGTTTCAATGTATTTAAAACGCTTAGATGTCAGTAAGGGACCAGGACCTGATGGCATTCCACCCTTGTTTTTACAAAGATGTTACCGTCAATTAGCTAAACCATTAACAATTTTGTTTAGAACTTCCATGAAGTTGGGTGAAATGCCTTTAGAATGGAAAAAATCGTTCATAACTCCCATATTCAAAAGTGGTAATAAGCACGACATTTCAAATTACCGTCCAATTTCAAAATTAAGCTCGATTCCAAAACTATTTGAGAAAATTATTTATGACACACTCTCCCAAATAGCTCGACCAATTATAATTCCTGAGCAACATGGTTTTATAGGTCGAAAGTCTACAGAAAGTAATCTTTGCGAGTTTCTTGATCACCTCTATATTGCAATGGATAGTGGACTGCAGATAGATGCAGTGTACACCGATTTTACAAAAGCATTTGACAAAATTTCACATAGTATTCTGATACACAAATTAGATCAAATCGGTGTACATGGTGATTTACTTCGATGGATATCTTCTTATCTTAGAAATCGTAGTCAGGCAGTTGCAATAAAAGGACACTGTTCATCTTTTCTCCCAGTTTGTTCAGGTGTTCCTCAGGGTTCGCATCTTGGTCCACTACTGTTTATAATATTTATAAATGATGTAATATCCTGCTTCCATAATTCCAAAATTCTCCTTTTTGCAGATGATATAAAAATTTTCAGATCTATTAAATCTATAGAAGACTGCAATCTACTTCAAGAGGATCTGTGTAGGCTTAGCTCATATTGCCAAGCAAATCATATTTACTTGAACATCAAGAAATGTAATATTCTCATTTACTAGGAAAAAGAATCCAATCCTCTACTATAAGCTCGACGATAATTTACTAAAAGAGAGTAAATGAACTGCGTGATCTTGGTGTTCAGTTGGATAGTAAGTTGTTACTGAGATCACATATTAATATAATAACTCAAAGAGCTTATAAAATGCTAGGTTTTGTGATGCGTATCTCAAAAGATTTTAAAAACTCTACAACATTAATTATACTATTTAATACTCTGGTGCGATCTATTCTTGAATATTGCTCTTCATGTTGGAATCCTCAATACAAAGTTTATGTTAAAATGATTGAAACAATCAATAATAAGTTTCTGCGTCACTTAAAGCGATATGATTCTTCCGTAGACTCCTTTATTGATAGCTTACACAGTTATACACTCGGAAAAACGCCGTGATATAAGAGATCAAATGTTGTTGTACAAATTGCTACATAATATCATCGACTCACCCCTACTTTTAAGCAAAGTGAATCTTGCGTGTCACCGGTTAGGTGCACGAAAAAAAGCCTCTTTTTTGCATTACGTAAAGTAAAAACGAAGTGCGCTTCTAATAATTTTGTATCTCGTACATGTAATTTTATTGAAAGATATTTTTCACCTTAAATACTAATAGTTAAAAAAAAATATTGTAAAACTTAATTTATAATTGGTAGCTTCACTATAGGTCGTGTGTATTGTATTACTTTTATTTTATGCTTAGAACTTAATGTTTAATTATAAATCCATTTAGGTATTTTTTTTTTCAATCTTTAAACATATTGTGGTTGCAAGCTTTTAATATGTTTTAGATATCTGTGGAAACTTCATTGGTTTTAGGATTACTTTTATATGTTTTATAATGTATTTTTTTTATTGTCTGTACGTTTCCCTGAAAAAGCAAATAAATAAATAAATAAAAATAAAAAGAAAAGATAACCAATATTAAAATTTGCTCCCGTTTCATACTATAAGTATGACTTTCACTATGGAGGTTGCACCAGTCTGCGTGTAACTGTTTTCTACTCAAGTGAATATGTATAAATTCTGTGTTATATTGATCCATATTCATAAGAACTGTTTGGCGTTAGGTCGGCGAGCTCGCTGGGTGCGGCTGCGGGCGCGAGTGCGGGCGCGAGTGCGGGTGCGGGCGCGGGTACGGACTCGGGCGCGGGGCGCGGACGGTGCGACGCTCGTGAGCCTGCACACGCTGCTGAGCGCCGCGCGGCCGCCCGCGCGCCTGCCGCGACACGACAAGCTGCGCGCGCCCACCAACGAGCACGCACTCACCGGTACGCCCGCCACAAGCAAAACCTCTCTCGCTCAAATCGTTGTTTAGCAATAAGATCATTTTATTGTATCTACCTCCTAAGGTTTTCTTACTAGAATCTGTTTCATTTTTCGTGATTTGTAGTGTAATATATGGTGTTGTAGTATAATATCGTGAATCATGTTATATTTTTTTTATAGGAAAAGTTTGACAAGCGAGCACACAGTCCACCTGATGGTAAGTGGTTGCTGTGGCCCATAGACATCTACATCTATCCTCGTTTGCGAATCAAAATGAAGACGAGTTGTCAGCCTTGAGGGCTAACGTGGAATGCCTTTTTTCCAGTAAAAAGGGTCTCCGGTTCTCTACACTCACCATACGAAACACAGCAGTATTAAGCTGCTATTTGCCGCTGGTATTCTGTGAGAGCGTGGTCCTTCCCTGGTCGAGCCAACCCATTCGTACTACAACTATACAATCAATATAGCTGCAGCATGGCTCTACCATGAAAAAAAATATAAAATATAAAAAAATGTTAATAGGATGTTATAATAATTGCCGAAAATCATTGTGAGATAATACTATTACAGATAGTAATATCTAATTTTATTGACTTTTGGAGCTGTATTATACAAGGGTTCTGTTCATTACTGAAAAATAGCGTTGTTGTTTCGCCACAAGACATACTGATTAAATAACCTTTTTACCACGTTTTTTAGGGTTCCGTAGTCAACTAGGAACCCTTATAGTTTCGCCATGTCTGTCTGTCCGTCCTCGCTTAATCTCTGTGACCGTTAGCACTAGAAAGCTGAAATTTGGTACCAATATGTGTATCAATCACGCCGACAAAGTGGTAAAATAAAAATTGGAAAAAAATGTTTTATTAGGGTAGCCCCCCTATATGTAAAGTGGGAAGTGATTTTTTTTTTAATTTCAACCCTAACGTGTGATATATTGTTGGAAAGGTATTTAAAAATGAATAGGGGTTTACTAAAATAATTTTTTGATAATGTCAATAATTTCGGAAATAATCGCTCCAAAAGTAAAAAACAATGTGTCTCCCCCCCTCTAACTTTTGAACCGTAAGTTTAGAAAATATGAAAAAAATCTGAAAAGTAGAACTTTATAAGGACTTTCTAGGAAAATTATTTTGAACTTGGATGAAAACAACAGTACCCACTACCGGGAGCAGTTGCAGGAGCGCGGAGCGCTGCTGGAGCGCGAACATAATGGATACCCACCTTTAAACTCATAAGTGGGAACACTTATTGTGACGGACGGGAAACTACGGAACCCTACACTGAGCGTGGCCCGACACGCTCTTGGCCGGTTTTTATTAATTTGTTTTCGTGTTTAAAATTATCGATTTTAAAAATTTTCCGATCTAGAGATTTGTTATTTTGAACATAGCTCAGAATCGGATGACGATGTAAGAATTAAAGAAGAAACGTGATAGATCAAAAAATTTAATGCATAATTTATAGAAGAAAACACTTGTTTGGCATAACTTCGACGTACAAAACAAGTACGTTATTGATTATATTAATGTTAAACACTCGCTATTAGCGATGCCATAAATCATCGGTGCGCTAGGAACAGACGCGTGCGGTGCGTCACTTGTCGATAACCACTTATTGATTCCTAAAAGGATGAAGAAGAGTGTGCGCTGCCGCGCAGAAATTTTTAATAAGTGCGGGTAATTTAATAATGTCTGTAAGGGTAATTTAATCATTATTAATTACGTTTAGAGGGTATAAATACTAGGGTTGTTCCGAATATGGATTTCATGAATACGAATATTCGACCGAACATTATTCGGCAGGATCGCCTCGGTACCTAACAATTTATGTCGAAACTTGTAATCGTAAAGCGCGCGGGATTAGCGCAGTACTCTGCCCCTTGCTCATCATCTAGTACCGACAAATTGGCGGCACATGCTTGTGTTTTGACTATTTTTGTGATAAAAAAGTATTTCGTTGTGTTATCATTGTGTTATTCTTAACATTCATAACATACTATATAATATACTATATATTCATAATATCTAATATATAATACAAGCCATTTAACCCATAAATAAAATATACTTTCAACAGTAAAATTATCAAAGACATTACCCAATGCGTACATTTCAATACAATGGATACTTTGAGTTCCGCTTTAACGAATGTTCGGTGATTTAGCCCCATATGCGGACGACGACGAATATTCGGTAAAACTGCCGAATATGCCGAATACCGAATATGAAACGAATATTCGGCCCATCTCTAATGAATACCTGTTTTAATATGCTTTTAATAGTCATTTGATATTTGGATGTTGTTGATTAATGATTATTGATTTAACATAAATTTAAATGTACGGATAGCAATATTTATTGAATAGTTTCCTTTTAATTTTGTATTCTTTACTTTTTCATAACATCGACACGACTATAGATATAGTACGAGGGTGACTCTGAAAATTCTTAGAAAATCAAAAACTGAACAAACTATCAAGTTATTAGTTTTAATATATATTTTCAAAATAGTGTCCATTCACATCAATACATCGCTGCATCTGATGAAACCACTGCTAAAGCACTTTAACCACTCGTTTTTAGAGGAGAGGTACGAGGTTAGAGGTATTTTGAAACGTAGCCTCTGCTCCTCGGCGTTCATGGAGCGTTTTCCTCAAAGTTTTTCTTTCATTTTCGGAACTAAATAAAAATTGCAAGGTGTGACTTTGAACTTATTAAACCAGTTGTAAACAGTTGCGCGAGGTTGGGCTTCATCGTGAAAGGCCAATCGAAGTCTATCATAACTTTCTCGTTGGCTTAAATGACATCGAAAGTCATAAAATTCATAGTACGAAAATTTTCTCGCGTAAATTCATGCTTATGTGACACAGATAATTATCAATTTGCCGCCAAATCGTAAATAAATGACAAATTAATAAAATACATACACAATAATATTGGTAGAGTTACATTTTTAAAATTTGAACTTATTATTATTATAGCGTTTACAAGTGGCCAGTTCTAAAAACTTTCAGTGTCGCCCTCGTATAGTATAAATTGGCTATAGAGTGATAAGGGCGAGACCAAAATTAAAATACACCATTGTGAGTCTACTGTGCATGTGTGAGTGACTATTAGTGCTGCACCATGCATTACCTGTCTCTACTTCAACTATCGATACCGATTGCAGTATATCTCGTGTCTACTGATTTGACGCAGATTATGTAAATTAATATTTTTACCCAACAACGACGAAGCCAAAAGGATGGTTACAATTTTAGAAGGCTATGTATGTATGTATATATGATCAAATGATTGCCCCAAGTATGAATTACTGACTCTGTTGGAGTCGAGAAACTGCTAGCTTGTGTTTGTTCCTAGTGTTTACAGAGTGTATATCACTTTTTTTACTAAAACTACATTTGTTTTTGTGAACATACACCAAATTTTCATTAATATACTGAGAGGCGAAAGTTAATATATTTATTTCTTCAAATTTTTTCTACGAGACTCTCTCGGTTTAAGGTTATAAATAGCTCTAATGGCCCTTTTCTGTAAAACAAAAATAGTTTCTAAATCAGCCGCATTCCCCCATATCAAAATCCCATATGACATTATGCTATGGAAATAACTGAAATAAACTAATCTAGCTGTCTCGATACTAGTGAGATCTCTAACCTTTTTACAGCATAAGCTGCAGAGCTTAGTCTGCTTGCTAGTTTAAATATATGGGGGCCCCACTGAAGCTTAGCGTCGAGAGTGATGCCAAGAAAAACAGATGTTTCAATAGAACTCAGTTCTTCCCCATTTAAAAATACATTGGTACTCGGATTATTAACATTCGTTGTTGTAAATTGAATACATATAGTTTTATTGCCGTTTAAATGTAGATTATTAACGTTAAACCAATGCACTAATTTCGATATAGCATTATTCACTTCGTCACATTTAAATTATAAACTTAAACGTCAGTTTAAAAATCAAGGAAGTATCATCAGCAAATAATACTATATCACCTCCCCTACAAGGTAAGGTAAGTCATTAATGTACACTAAAAATTGAAAGGGGCCAAGAATTGAGCCCTGAGGAATACCCATCTGTAGCGGCCATCCGAAAAATCTTTTACTATTGATAATAACTTTTTGCAGTCTATTACTTAAATATGAAATAACTAATTTAAGCGTTGTATTCTTGACACTACACTACTATACTGTAGCTTCCTGATTAATGTCTCATTGTGAACACAGTCGAAGGCCTTGGAAAGGTCATAAAATATACCCAAAGCATCCTCTGAATTCTCCCATGCACAAACAATATGTTTTATAAGCTCAACTCCGGTTATCGAGCAACCCCTTGTAAAACCAAATTGACTTGTATAGAGCAATTTATTTTTATTAAAAAACTTATCATCTGATGTAAAATATTTTTTTCAAAAATTTTATTTAGAGTTGTACAGAAATTGGTCTAAAATTTTAAAAAGGTCAGATGTACTACCAAATTATAATATAAGGATAACTTTACTATGTTTTTCGTTAAATCATGAAACACAACAGATTCGACGCTTGTATTAAAAATAGTGGCTAGATAAAATGCTATTGTATCTATTACGGATGCAATAACTTTAATGGAAATCCCCCATAAGTCTGCCGTTTTCTTAACACTTAACTTAGCATTATTAATTACGTCTATGAAACACTAATTTTCACTCTAAAATTTGAGATTTTGCTAGGCCGATACAGGCCTATAGCGTGTACGTGAATGGTCTAGTCTATCTTTCTCGCTCTAACAAACGCGTAAACTACGCTCCTTTTTATTTGCATTGCCAATGTATTCTAACGTCAGTCTATACTAAATCTATGGACACGACTGTGGTGCGTCACTGTGCCTGCTTTAAGGCCCGTAAGTGGCGGCGTCCTGTTTCCCCATTTTATTGCACCGAGCGTTTAACATTAGTATAGTATATTGTTGTGTACGTCAGTGGTCTGTACCAAAATAGTGTTTTTTGTTAGTATAAGATAGTAAATTTTGGCAGCTGTAGTCAGCAGCCCGGTGACGGAAGTGGGGGGTACGAGTAGCAGCGTGGCGTTGTGCGCGTCGCTGTCCTCGCCCGAGCTGCACTCCGCGGGCGGCGCGTGCGGCGAACCGGCCCGTGAGCCGCGCACCGCGCCGCAGCCCGCCGCACACGCAGCCTCCGAGTCCAGCAGCGACACCGGGGTAACCACATTAACTAGCCAAGTCGGACGCCGCGCTGGCGCAACGCGACTCGTCACCGCGTCGAGGTATATAATAATATGAGACGGCCTGAGGCTGCGAAGTGAGCGACCGTAACCAACGGATGACGTACGAATTCACGCGTCACTTGTAAATAGATTTTGTTGTTTGATTCGCAGCTTAAATGCAAAACATAAACTTGAAAATTTCTATCAGTGTGAGTAATTTTACTTCTGAGGATTTTTATGAGTATTGACGAATGGATGCCAATAATTTCTCGGTCACCAGATGTCACTAGTTCGGGCCAGTGGCGAATCCGAAAAGCCGGGTTTGCCCTATCAAACGGCTCAATCAATAATATCAACTAATAAAATAACTATATATTTTTTTTTTTATATATATATATATATTTATATATATATATAAATATATATATATAGTTTTGGTCATTCATCAAACTGGTGCCTGTTATTGTTTAATGTAATTGTTTAATGTTTAATGTAAATGAAATAAATCCTATGAAAAAATATCTGACTTCCATACACGAAAGTGCCAATTTAGAAAAACTTTATTTCACCTAATTTTTCGCACAAATAATGTTAAAAACCACGAGACACGCGGCCTAATCGTTGCATACTCTACGGCGGCGTATATACATATATAGCGCGTCGTATCATACCTTGCGTGCCCGCAGGTCGCCTCGACTCCTCGCAGTAGCACCAGCGTGGCTTACGCCTAACACTGCGAAGAATTCGATTTTAGATACCTGTCTCAATGTTATTGTAGCTTTCTTGTTTTAATATCGGTTGTATTTATCCATGAGCTTGGTTATTTACTACCAGATCGATTTACTTGTTTGTCACTAATATTATAACCATAACTCTTTCACATCTCATGATATATGTTGTCTTTATACAGGCTGTTAGTGTAAACACCGTTATCCTTGAAACTTGTGGTTTCGTTTCATTTATAGAACGTAAATTCAATGAAAAATAACAACATTTTTTTTAGTAAAATCTCAATTTTTCCTTAATTCCTCAATTTTTGCCTGTCCTAAGCCAGGATGAAAGTATGAAGGAAAAGTTACATCACAGGTTATGTGCACCTATTGTGTTTTTATTAGAATGTTGTGTAGGCAGCTAGCGGCGGGCGGCGGTTTACAGTAATTACGTCACTCGGGCGCATTGGGTATCCATGAATCGGACGGTGTCAGACAGAAACTTTTTAAATTTTATGAAAAAAATAGCGTTTTTTTTAAAACTCATTGAATTTACGTTCTATATGTGAAACCAAACCACTGGTTTCAAGGATAACGGTGTTTACACTAACAGCCTGTATTCTCTTCTAAGTAAATTAGAATAAAGGTTTTGAAAGTGCTGTTTTTATGTTTCCTTCTTCTAAATTTCTTAGACTTATTATCCACTATTTATTGCTTATAAACATTTAACAACTTTTTTATCGTTGCGCTATACTTAGGTCATTAAATTATTTATCTTTATATTCTAGACATAAAAAAGATTATTTGTTTCGCTTTTTATAAAATGTAACTATTTTTCAATTATTTGTAATAGAATAATACATTAATACATTTTGAAAGCTTTAATAGAAAGCACAACAGATAAGATTGAAAGGAAACACTGCTACCGTAATAAAATATATAATTTCTGATTAATATTCTACATTCATAGTCACGTTATGGATCTATGTATGGTCTTTAGTGTTTCCTTTTACTTCTAAAGGGTTTTGTAATGCGGACGGCTCGATGTTGACTGTGGCGGCCATTGCGTTTTAGCAACATCTGTGAAATCAATTGTTTATTATTTCATTAATGAGGCCAAATCATCATGGTAATTTACACGATTGAGTAACGTGTCTAAAGACCACAAACAACGCCGTTTCTACGCTAACTGGGCTTCAGAGCGTTTGGTAGAGGATCCCAATTTTGGCCCAAAACATCTTTAGTGATGAGGCGCATTTTTTGATGAATGGCAATGTTAATAATAATAAGCAAAGTTGTCGTATATGGGGCGATGCCAACGCACACGAGGTTCACCACTTTACAATGCATCCACAAAAAGTTACTGTTTGGTACAGATCTCGACAATTTTACAATGACATTCTGGATAAACGATTTGAGGGTATGGTTACCTCTCGCAGAGGTAACGTAAATTGGCCACCAAGATCGTGCGATTTGACCCCGCCGGACTTTTTCTTGTAAGGTTTTCTAAAATCGCAGGTTTATGCCAATAAGTCTCAATCGATCGATGCTCCTCAAAGTCAACATAATCCATGCGGTCGCTCAAATGCAGCCAGATTATTGCGGCAGAGTCATGCGGCGGAGAGTTAATGTCATTCATGGACCTTTTGAATAAAAATAAAAATTCGTTAATGCCTCACACACAACTATTAGTTTTATTACACTTTAACATCGGGCGCACTCATTGGAAAACTTTTCACTCATATTATATTTACTTATTTGCTAAAATTGATAGATCAAAAACGCAAATTAAAACAGTTTGGATTTTTCAATTTAAATGCATTTTATATTATACTTGATTATAAAATAAAATGTACGGAATTATGCTATATGTACGCCTTATTCTTTAGTGTGTCGGTGGTGAATTCATAGACTAACATTACATAATATATTGTACTATTTTGATTTTAACCCGTAAATGGATCGCCATATCCAGGCAGCTCACATTCACAGAACAACAACAGCGTAGCAAAGTAACATTAGTTGATTAGAGGACCAAGGACCCCTTTATTTGCAAAAAAACACATCTAAATGCCATATAGTCGTAAATAAATCACTTACTGAAATAAGTAAACTACGTGAACAAAGTTGCGAATATAGCTTTTTTACCTTGCATTAATGGGCGTTTCTTATCGCAGAGAGGCTTGGCAGCGCTTGGAAAGTGGTTATATAACGATGTAATAAAAATATTTCATTTGTGATCACAGGAGCTAATGTTCACGGAACTAGAGGGCTTCGCTGAAGATAACAACCCCAGTCATGTTGATGAGAATTCAAACGAGGAAAATGATGTTGATGAAGAAACTATGTCAGGTGAGTGTATGTTTTATATTGTTTGTTCATAATCTGTGCACCTTACAAATAAAAAAAATTAATAAAATTTGAAATATCGGCTGCCAAGTATTGTATAGTGTGTACCTGAATACTAAAAAGTTACAAAGTTAATTATTTTCCGACTTGGTTTAAACACATTTTTTCACATAATTGATTTTACTTTTAAAGTTATTGAGACAGGGAAATGTTCGCCGCGCTGCCTAAATGCGTGTTGGCGAACTTCACAATGCTCTTTAGTCTTCAAAAAAATTTTTTCTTATTTCTAAGATATGCAGGTTCCCTTACGATGTTTTCCTTCACCGCAAAGCACGTGGTAAATCAGTACTTAAAATTGCAATTAACCATTTCATTTGTACCGGCCGGGAACGAACTTGGGTTGCTCGCATACTGTGAAAACAGCGAGCGCTTAGCCCCTGAGCTACCACGACTTTTTACTCTTATACCTATTCTCTTCTTTTATTATGGCTTAAAAATTTCTTCTTCAATGTATATTCCTATTATAATCTTATTTTTAAGGCATAATTAGAGAATAAGTTTAACAAGCCTATTGTCATCGGAATGTGATATTTATTTTTACTACTCGTGCGGTTAAAGAATGGGACTGAAAATGGCGTCGCCTCTATTTACCTCTCGTTCGCACACTGTCGCTATCTATACTCACACCCACCGGTAGAGACAACAAAAAATATATGCTGCGATATGCGTTTTTTGTACGCGCTAAAACTTCAGTGCGACTTGTCAATGGCATAAATGATAACCAAATACCATAAACTAAAAAAATATCTCGGTTTCGCAAATTTGTGAGCTAGACGCTTTCTGAGAGTTTTTTACATAACTATTGTTGATTTTGTTAATACTTTTGTAAAGTCACAACGTAATAAAGTGTTTTGAGGTAGAAAAAAATCTGAAACATTAGCACCCATTTCAATACAGTAATGCAAGGGCGGGTATGGCAACAGGGTTTTCACTCGAATTAGAAAAGATGGTGAGTATCAAATTTATCCAGTATCTATCAGTTTGCTTATAATTAATGATTCGAACAGACTATGTACCATTAAACAATATATAAAAATATTGTATTCGCTACACTAAGATTTTCTCTTTTGTATCGTAGGGGCAGTTTACAAACATAAATTGCACAAGGACAAACATCCAGACCCGGAACAACTATTTGTAGGCCGTACAAATATTTGTTCCGTGCGGGATTCGAACCCGCGCCCCCCAGCACAGCCACTCATTGCTAAGCCACTGCACCACGGAGTCGTCAAATTCGCTATTCAATATTCGTTTTTTCTAGCGTTGTCCGTTCTTAGGGTTCCGCACCCAAAGTGTGCCCCGTATCGTACCGTTACATCCTATTAAAGTCCACTGAATAAGCCTCTCACATAGATTAATTATATATCCCCCTCATGTGGGGGATTTTACCACAGTTGCCACGCTTCGCAAGCGGGTTGGGATCATCAGTTTTATTATTTTGAGTCGTTATAAGGAAAATGCTGCTGCCCATCTCCAGATTTGTTTCCCTCTGTCTCCTCTTACGGCACAGTGGTGATATGGAGTAGCATTCTTACACCGCCACTAGCCGGTGGAGTGTCCATCGGAACCCTATTACTGAGACTATCTGTCTCTTTGTCGCAGGGCTGTAACTTTTTAATTATTAGCTACTATAATGGTCACTTTAATCGCAAATAATGAAGTGAATAAAAGGTTAAAGCCCAACGGGGTCTTTATATAAGAAATCCGAAAAAAAGTTAATTTTCCAACGATTTTTTGTTCTTCTTGTATCTTAAAAATGGTAATACCATCATTGAGTCTATATATTTTTTATAACTAACACTACAATAATACTATGTTCTCTATACTTAAATAACAAATAATGAAAACAAGATAAACAGTGAAACCCAAGGAGACAGATTATTGTGGATGCAGGTTCAGAAAATGAATTTTTGAAGGGTGCTGAGTTGATTTTTAAGTCCAAAACCAAAAAAGGAGATTACCCTTATGAAATAAATAGGCAAAATTTAACTAAATATACTGAGGAAAAACTAACGGACGAGGGAGGTAACGAATGAAAATAACATTGAAGTGTTTATAATTAATATTGGGCTGTACAGCAATTGTGAAAGCGATAGCTGCTCCTATTCAGATCAAGAAGATAACGGTGGGAGGCCCGGCATCAAAGTGATCTCAGACGATTCTGGTGAAGGTTCATGTAGCAGAATTTAATTTTCAAAGATCACTATACTTAAAAAATAAATGTCTATAGTTTCTTGACTGTTATTTAAATTAATATAAACTTAATCATTGTTTTATTTTATAGTCTTCGTGAATTTTTTACTAATCTATACTTATAAATATTTCAATTTTAACCAAGCGAAGGCAGTATGGGGTCATTGGTTATAAATGTTATTTTAAAATTAATGTGTCTACTTGTGTATATGATTCTATTTAAATATTTTCCTTTAATAGAAAATTTCCAGTTAACCGAATAATATAACTAACATTTCAATTCACATAATAACGTTATACCGTTATTAGCGGGTTTCGTTGTTTGTATTGTGCATGTGTCCCCATATATAATCCCATTCTTTATCCGTACGGGCTATTATTAGGCCTATTAGGGCCTTTATTAGACATTATAGTTATAGTAAGATAATAAAAACGGATATAAACGGATAAGTGGAAAATTTTAATCTTTTAGTGTTTCCGAAATTTAAAAATGTAATATATGAATGATGTCGGTGAATTTGACGGTAATTTGTTAAAAATAGATAATTAATTCGCAAATAATATTACTTGAAAAAGAACACTGTTTCCACAGCTTATTAGTATTTTTCAAATATAGCACAAGTTATTTGTGGCAAATAATTCGACGGTTTGGAATATTTTTATTTATGAATTGTCGTGAATTATAAATGAACTTCCACCTCCTTTAAAAATTTAAAATATTGATATTGTTCCAATTAAATCCTATATTATCCTTTAAAATAACCAACCTGTCCTATTTCCTCTTCCCGTAATTTTCCTTCCCTCCTACAGACGGGTCGTCGGGCAGCGGCTCATGCGATGGCGAATCGCCTACATCTGATGCTTCGCCTACTTCCGACGCTTCGCCCGCTTCGGTTGCTTCCGCCACTTCGCAAAACTTGCAATCTCGCACTTGCAGCCGTACCACGTACCGACGCACACGAAGCCGTTCGAAGCCCTACATACTTAGGATTACTATAGATAATTAGAAACAGTAGCCATATAGGACATGAATTTCGCGTTTCATATGTGATTCGGAAGAAGTTTCCACATTTTGTTCAGTTTAAATTAATGTATTCGTTCTTTTGTTACATTACAGTACTAAAAACAGTCTTGTTGTTTGACTAGAACTTATTACAAATGTTTGCCCAAGTAGTAAGTTGTGTTTTTAGTTTAACTTTACGTATGACTTGGTTTTACTAGTATTGATTTATTTGTAAAATATGAAAAAAAAATGCTGTAAGTCAAGTTTCGTTCTACGGCAATATAATCAATAGTCGTGGAGCATTTCACGAATCACTGATTATATAACTAGTGAAACAAAATTCTACACCAGTTATATCTATCGAAAACGCCGGTTACTCATTTCGTGAGCGTGATTTCACAAAGGTACGCATGCCAAACAGGTAAAATATAAACATGCAGCGACTCTCGCACTCATAACTATGAAGAGAGAATCTGCTTGAGTAAAATTTAATTTTATTCTCAATAGTGTTAGGCTCTAACTTGAAGATTTTTATAAAGCTTTTAGAAAAATAATTTAGCGTGATTAAATCTCAAAGTGAAAAACAATCTTTTTTATTCTTAACACTTATGAAAGGTAACAAACGAATACAGTCCACCTGATGGTAAGTGGATGCTACGTGCCATAGACATCAAGCAGTGGCGAAGCTTCCATTAAAGCCGAAAAGCCGGGCTTGCATTATTAAACCTGAATCAATCAATAATATCAGTCAATAATATCAACTAATAAAATAACTCGTAAAATGTTTCAAGCTATTTCATTATTTCCCGCGCACTCCACTTTTCGACACATGTCGACCGATGACCTCGTATTGCCTTAGCGATACTGCTGTCATAAAAAAATGAGTTTTAATAGAGCTAATAGTTGTCTCCCTCGCTCGCTTGGGTTTTTTTACGGGGCTTTCGAGAAGACGATCGCTCTCTTTCTAACCTATGGCAAAATATTCTATAATTAAATATAACTACGATTGTATATATAGCAATTAGTATAGAGATTTAAAGCCAGGCTTTTAGGAATAAATTTGTTAAAAGCGGAGGCGCACGGGCAATACGTTTGCAAGTTCATTTCACGTTTCAATGTTTATTTACTCTGTGTCACGAGTGTGTGTGAATCTTAAGCAATTTAATATTACGAGTTCAAAATTAATGCTTTTTTAAAGATTTTTAATGAAAATGGAGGATGATAGTGTTCCTTGTGATGAATTGAAGTGTGTTAAAGTGATAATCGGAGACGAAATCTTTAAACTTTGTTGAGATAATAGACAAGGTTAAGAGTGTATTTCAGACTTATCAATTATCGCAATTAAAAACAGTTATTGGTACAATTAAAACGTTCACCAACATTTTACGTGGACGTAATTAAATCTTTCCATAAGAAAGCGAGACGGTTCCACTTATCTTTTTATCCATTAGAATGTAAATATTTTTGTTTTTTTTTTAATTTTGTACATAGTTTGTTTGTACTTTGTTCGTGTTTTACTTTTGTTCATGTATTGTATTGGATGTAAATATTTTTTTCTTTCGCTTAAACAAACCCAAACGGCTTTCTTCAAAGCCACCGAAGCTATGCAATTGCTGATATGTAATACAATCTATCTAGCAGTGGTATGCCTTCTGTGTGCTTTGTTAAACACGTCCTTGACAGCACTGAATATGAAACTGAAGCGTGGAGACAGATCAAGATTGGTGTATTTTTATAAAACTGCTAA